CTTCATAAAAGTAATGTAAACATTTTGAGCTTTTGGCTAAAGAAAATGCTATATAATTTTATTTCCCACTCTTGCTTTTTAAAATATACTTCCTTGAGACACATTTTGCATATAATGAAACCTACTCACCGTGGGTATACAAATTCAATGATTTTTACTAACTTTAACCAGTGTTTCAACCAACCAACATCATGTATCAGTTTTAGAACATTTTCCTCCTCCCAATAAGATCACTCATAGTCCATTTACGACGCACCACCCTAGGCAACCACTATGTTTTGCCTCTATAAATTTGCCTTTTCTGGACACTTTACAAAAAGGGAATCATACAGTATGTGACTTGATGTATGGCTTCTTACACTTCACTTAATGGTTGTAAAGTCCATTCATGTTTTAACATGTGTTAGCAGTTTATCTTTACTATTGCTGAAGAATATCCATTGCATGGACCAATTTTGTTTATATTTGTTTCCATTTTTTGGTTATTGTGAATAATGCTGCTATAAACTATCACGTTCAGATCTTTGTGTGGACATTTATTCAGGTCTCAGGTAGATACCTGAAAAGTGGAATTACTGTCTTGTGATAATTTTGTGTTTAACTTTTTAAGAAATCTACAAACTGTTGACTGTACATTTTACCTTCCCACCAGCAATGCACAATGGTTCCAATTTCTTTACATGAGTTCTCTGAACATTTTGGATACGTATCCAAATTGTTTTTGCAAATATTTTCAAATTCCCTGTTGCTTGTCTTTTTATTTTCTTATTTTGAAGTACAGAAGTTTTGAACTTTGATAAGGTCCAATTTAACTTTGTTTCTTCATAGAACACACTTTTGGTGTTGGAGATAAGAAAACTTTGACTAATCCAAGGTCTCAACAGATTTTTCTTTTTTTTCCTAAAAATTTTATTGTTTTGGTTCTTGCATTTAAGTCTGAGATCAATTTTAAGTTAATTTTTGGGAATAGTGTGAAGTAAAGGTTTTAGTTCACCTTTCTGTATGTGGATGGATACGAATCCAGGTTGCCCCAGAATCATTTGAAAACAGACTACCTTTTCTCCAGTGAATCTCTTTGGCACCTTGGCTGAAAATGAATGGACTATAAGCAAGGTTTTACTTCTGGTTCTTAACTCTAATCAATTGATCCACATGCATCTACTCTTGTGCCAGGACAACAATGTCTTAGTAACTAGTTTTATCATTTTGAAATTGAGAAAAAGTCCTCCAAATTTTCTTTTTTAAATGTTTTGGTACTTCCTGGTC